CAAAGGGCATATGTATATTTATGTTGAAAACATGGGTTGCCTTGTACTCTTTGTTTACAAAAAACTTTAGAAAACTAGCAAATTTCTTAAGAACTCCATACTGCGTAAGCTAATTTGGCTTAATAAATTTGTCTTGAGCGATTAACCATAGATTTTCGACTATTTCCCAGTTCTGACGTTATTCGTCGAACTAAACGAATGTATACAAACAGAAACATAAAAAAAACAGATTTGGTTTTTATTAATTAATTTTAATCCAATTGCACTTCAACTGGGATATGTATAAGGAAAGGCATTGGTGTTATTGAAGAGATTAAAAATAATTTTTCTCAAATGGACATTAAGGAATGTTTAAAAAAATTAAATTCAGTTTGGAAAAAACTTAAATTTGGGTATAAGCCGCGTTATTTTTAATAAAAACAAAAAGTGGCCACTATATCGATACACTAACACCACAGGAAATATCTAATTTCGAATTCTGCCAGTCACATTAGTGGATGTCGAAGGGTCGTTTTCCGTCTATGCAACGCTCTTAAACGATTAGCGCGGTTCTTTATTATTTAAGAATATCTAGCAACACTTAGTTGTGCGTTATAATTTTGTAATAAACTCAATAAAAAACAAAACACTAAACTGTACTTAAGGTTTTTTGTTGTTTTTTTTGAGCATATTTGCAAGTATATTTACCAATGTTTTAGTGCTTATCTATTTGTATTGTATTTGTATTTGTTTCGGCCTTGAATATGTCATTCGGAAGTGCCCAAAATTTTGGGTCTTTCATTTGTGTGTTCATGTGAAATACAATATCACCTAAAATCACCATGTGGGTGGGAGCAGGTGGCGGCTTTGGCTCTAAGAAAGGGATAAAAGGTATTATGTGTTTAGGGGCCACCCCTTAGAAACTCCACTGACAAGTTTGCCTGCGAATTTTTTGCAAAGCATAAAGGAAATATGGGTAGTCTTTTGAACTTTTGTAAACTCTTTCTTTTATATTACGCTCTTCTACCAGGGTGTTTAAATCAATATTGAATTTCTATCAAGCGCACTACTCGGGCCCCATTCAGAAAATAAACCATGTGCATAGAGAAATTTTGGGTATGCAGTTTTGTCGCCCATTTCCTTTAAGTCTACTGATGTGAAAGTTTCATGTTAAAAAAAATATATATATTTCTTTGATGCGTTGTATGGTAGTCATTCCATGTAAATGAGGGAAACGGAATAAATTTTAAATTTACTCGGCAATATAAAGTACTTCAATTAGTTCACCCTGGGTGTGCGGCAGTTTTGTGGATTTATTTGCTCTTTCAAATAATATTTTGTTTAATTTGCATAATTATATTTGTTGTGGCCTTTTAATAAAAATTAAATTCTAAAATATTAGACTAACTTGAAATAATCTTGAGAAATACCATAAACAAAAACAAAAAACAAGAAAAAAATAAAAAATAGGAATCGCTCGGAGTGGGACAATCTTCTCAAAGATGGTTTCATAATAAGGCTTTTTTAAACTCGTTCGTTTGGCATTCATATTGCGAAATTTGGTTGAATTTCCCCAAAAAATATGCTACAAAAATATATGTTAACCCGGGTCCTAAGCTACCTATTTTTGCCATATTTTATCAAAATAAAGAGCAGCAAACATACCCACACATTCACTTCAACTTTCACATTTACAATATTTAACTTTTATTTAACTTGTCAATAAAATTGATTTTAAACCCCCAACATCACCCACGTGTACTGCATGTCCCCGCTAGCGCAGTAGTATTTGTACAGGCGTTTAATAGTTCTCTCGAAAGCTCCGCATCTTTGTTCGACATCGTCCATATAAAAGGACTGACATGATGAGAGACTTGTCGAAAGTATTTTGGTCCATCGAGACGACGGCAACACCTTTTGAACCTTCACTTGATCTCCTGGCTGACATTATTTGTGATAAAGTTCTTCACTACTTCAAAATTTTAACCGTCAACAGTGGCGTGGGTCCCAAAACGGGAATACTCTTTATTTGTTGCTAGGGGGTACTTTGTATAATTTTTATTCACCGCTTATTCAACCTATTTTTCTAACTTTTCTAAGCTGGAAAATTTTACGCTAACGAGCCCCGTGTTGAGGTCGATGATATCAATGGGCCTGATGTATAAAAAGTGAGCTTAAGCTCCGACTCGATTTTCACACACATTCTTGAGCTTAAGTTCACTCCATAAGTGGAAAAATTTTGCCTGAGCTGAAGCTCACTTTTTATGCATGAGGTCCAATGTAATCTGCAAATGCCAGCAGCATAGTGCGATTAAGATTGGCAGCTCATATAACGCTTTCCAACATGAGATTCTCTTGGGCGTAGTGTATGTCGATCTATTTATCGAAGATTCTTTTTCAGGAACACGAACTGCGAAAATCTGGTCAGTGGTGCATTGGTCCGGCCTGACGCCACACGGTTAAGAAGACTTAACAGCTAGTACGTTCGCCCTATCGCTGGTTTTGCAACAACATAATTTCACACAAAGAACTATATAAAAAATTTTAAGAGTTTTTGAATTAAAAGTAGGCAGAGTACTATGTGTGTATATTGTGATAACCAGGGAACGGATTTCATGGAAATTGCCTTTTTTTCTGCTAAAGAGATAGAGTATATTCGATTAGGATTGTCCACGATTTAGCTTTCCCTGATTCGATATATACACATTTGATGTTGCCTTTTTTTGCCTTTTTTAAGATATTTGCTTTTTTTTACCTTTTTTAAGATATTTGCCTTTTTTGCCTTTTCTACCTTTAAAAAAGGGATTATAGCATTTACAATATTTTTTTTAAGATTAGAAAATATACACATGCCCATGCAGCTTATGGAAGCGCAGGGACCTCTTGCCAAATTGGTGTTGGAAAAATTCAAATCCGTTTTATCAGCTAGCGTAGGCTTGGAGACAATAAGGGGTGTGGATAAAATTGTAAAGGGCGAAGAAAACGCCCTTATTCCTGATAATATGAACGTTTCAAACGTTCCATATTTAAATTGGGCTCCACTTGTATCAACTCACGTCGAGCGCACATTTAGTACATTCAAGGCTTTCTTCGCGAAAATCGAATGAAAATGCTGCAAGAAAACTTCAAAATGTGTGTTGTGGTTCAATGTTACTACAACTATACAGATTAAAGTTTTAAGATTCAAAGTACAAATTTTTCATATAATGAAACAAGTTCATAGTTTTTCTCTTTTCACTTGTAATATAAACATTTCTAAAATAAATGTATTTTTTGATTGTTCTTCGTATTTTCTGTCTTTTTATAGTGCATTATTTTGCTTTTTTTGTAATACTTAGTGCCTTTTCCTGCCTTTTTCGCTATTTTATTTTGCCTTTTCCATCCTATTTCGTTATTTTATTTTACCTTTTTTATAGGTTTTTGGGTCCTAAAAATCCGTTCCCTGGTGATAACTAAGCATTACTTTATAACATTAACTAGCATCCACCAAAATAAAGCATATTTTTAGTTTCAGCGCACCGGCCGTAGATACTTGGTATGCAGGCCTCTTTCGCGTCTTTCGCGTTTGATGTTCATTATATTAAAAGTTAAGCATATTTGTTATCATAATTGTTCGCTAACCTGCCATAAAGTATTGTATTTTAGCCTTGACTTTGACATTCCAAATACGCCAACTTTGTGTGTGCGTGTATTTACATGAAGTATTCAAACTTCAAACAACTTCTTCATGCTGACATGGCAAACATGCACTGGGGTCATTTGTATGCAATCCACATACTTCGTTGTTGTGAACTGATGACAGGATGGAGGAGTTATTTATAAATAATTTCCATAATTCACGAGCATTTCACGTACAAAGTTGACAACAATATCCGTAATAAATTCCAAACTTTTAGTACAAAATATTGCATATTGGCGAAGCATTGTGCACAAATGCTTACTTACGTTACATGCATATACATATATCCTCTTCTTCTTCTTTTTTTGGCGCTGTAACCACCTAAGCGATTTTGCCAACTGACGCCAATTGGAAATGCCAAGTTAAGCCAAGTCCTTCTCCACCTGATCTTTCCATCGCAGTGGGGGCCTCCTTCTTCCTCTGCTACCACCAGTGGGTTCCGAGTTGAATACTTTCAGAGCTGGAGCGTCGGTGTCCATTCGAACGACATGGCCAAGCCAGCGGAGCCGCTGTATTTTAATTCGCTGCACTACGTCTATGTCGTTGTAAAGCTCATACAGCTCATCGTTCCATCGTCTGCGGTACTCGCCGTCGCCAACGCGTAAAGGCCCGTAAATCTTCCGCAAAATCTTTCTCTCAAACACTCCAAGAGCCGCCTCGTCGGATTTTGTCATTGTCCATGCTTATACATATGCTTGTACATAAACAACATTCTTTCCATTGCATATCCCTACGGTTTTGTATTCCTCATTTGCCTATTTTATAATCAGAAAATAAATACCCACTTATGTACATACATACATACATATGTATATTTTTAAATAGTATTTATATATGTACATATGTATACCACACAGTACCTACCCTATAAACATTTTGGCGAACGTTCGAAAATTACCTTCAATATCCAATATGAACATCGAATTGAGAACGAACTCATAACCAACCTTTACAAATACAATCGAGATGGGCTCGAAAAAAAATTATAACCATAGTAAAAAGAGAGAAAGTGAAATCTAGCTAATTTTCCAAGGGAAATACAAGACAATCACTCTCTCTCATTAAAATTTCAATGCGATAATGCACTGGATTTCGAATTCATAATGAAGGAAAAAAACATTGGATAACGAAGTTTCCGTTTCGCTGGAGAATGGCCTAGTTCTCGAATCGAATACTAACCTATTCCACATTCGTTATCGAAGGTGAGACTTAAAAAAAAAATGTTAGTTTTCCGATCATTTTCGAATTGTTAACCAAGCCCAATGTTTATTGGGTATACTACGCAAACGAAATAAGTTCCAAATAAGTGTTAACTCATTTCTATCACTTTTATCCTTCGCAGCGACCTTGCGAATGCCAGCGCCAGCGCAAGCGTTGCTATTGCTTCCGTCCACATCGCAACGAAAATTGGCTATTCTCACGCTACTCAACCGGCTGGAAGTGTGGCCTGCACGCAGATTGGACGGAATTGACTAGTTGTGTCGACATCGAGCTGGACAAGAATGAGGGTGAGACGGCGAAGCGGAGATACTTCTACATAACACTGCTTCGCGAACCCATTTCGCGTTACATGTCCGAGTACCGGCATGTGCGGCGCGGTGCTACATGGAAAGGTTCGCGCCATTGGTGTCTCGGACGCCAAGCCACCGCGACTGAATTGCCACCCTGCTACAAGGGCAAGGATTGGTTGGGCGTGGAGTTGGATGAATTCGCCGCGTGCGAGTCCAATTTAGCAGCCAACCGGCAGACACGCATGCTGGCCGATCTGGCGTTAGTAGGCTGTTACAACAAGACTGCAATGCCGGCGCACGAACGCGACCGCGTGATGTTGGCGAGCGCTAAACGCAATTTGGCTGCTATGGCATACTTTGGACTCACCGAGTATCAAAAGGTATATATTCTTTGAGTTACCCATGTAGGAAGTTTTAATTAATTCATGTTCTATTATACAGATGTCGCAGTACATTTTCGAAGAGACATTCAATCTTCGATTTGCGATACCTTTTGAGCAACACAATACAACAATTTCTGCGTCGGCGGTGAACAATTTGCGACCAGATCAAAAGAAGCGTATCGAGGAGCTGAACAGCTTGGATGTCGAGTTATATGCCTTTGCAAAGAATTTACTATTCCAAAGGTACGGTTCATCGAAGTAAGACAAAATTATTATTTTTGAATTTAAAAAATGAAATGCATAGTTTTGGGACGCGGTATACATATGTATGCTTGGTGAAGTAAAAAGATCATCTGAATGTATTTTCACAAAAAACAAGCTTTTTTAAATCCAAGACCATTTGTAGTTAACGCCTGGAGATAAGTCATACATGCATATCTCCATGTAATGGGAAAATAGCAATGTTACAATAACTGCATGTAAATTTTTTATCATCATATCGCGATTTGACCGCCGCTGTCGCTGAATGGAAGAGGTGCGGACTACCACTCCATAGGACCTGGGTTCAATCCCTGGTCCCGGCAGCATCTAAATTAGAAAAAGTTTTTGTAATAGCGGTCGCCCCTCAATGGTAAACCTCCAAGTGCATTTCTGCCTTGAAAATCTATTTGTCATTCGGAGACGGCGTGAAACTGTCCTCCCATTTGTGTAAATACCCGCAACAGGCACAACACAAATCGGGGGAGAAAGTTTGAGCGCCAAAATAATATTAATATTGCAATTCTTAACTATCAAACATGTAACTCTCACACATGGGTGCTCGAGCCCCCCCTAACTTTAAAATTTTCCTTATGTATGCCGGTAAAAATAAATGTATGAAGGAAAAAAATATTTTTTGCCTAAAATATTAAATTTTTTTTAAAACTGTTGATTATATAGAAAAACGTTATATGAACAGATTAAAGGAATTATAATTTTTAATTTTTTTAAATTTGTTTGAGCAAAATCGGACTAGTGGTTCTCGAGCCAGCGAAACGCCGGGACACGTATAACTTCTTTTTTACCGATATAACTTTCCCCGGTAGTTTGAACCCTTCCCGATCACTGACCCCTACCATTTGTCTCACAGTGTAATGGGTACCCGATATTTTTATAGCGATACTTTAAATGAGTACTATATCGGTACTTTAAAAATATTAAAAATAGGATTGCCACCTGTTTGTAAAGTCTAATTTAGTTAAACTAAAAAAATAAATTCGCGAAACCATACGATTACGCCATCGTATTTGTTGTTTTATTACAAATACATACATTGTTAATCAGTGATTTGTTCTGATTACATTTTTTTTTAAATGTGGACTCTTAAATTAACTCAGGAATGTTTTTACTCCAATTATTTCTTGCTAAATATGTAAAATTTGTTCATTTGTCTGATACTCATATTGATATACATATTTCAGCTACCTTATTCCCTTTATTAAAGTGAATTTGATTTTTTAAACATGTGGCAACCCTTCTACGTGTCATTTAGAGGTAAAGTATTTTCAAAACTAGTTCAATTGATACCCATATTGTAATATCTAATTCATTTAACTTATTATATAATTTTAATACAATTTTTAACAGGTGGAAACCTTTTTTTAAAAATAAGAAAACTTTATTGCACATCTACAGGTCAAGCACTGTCATTTGACACCTCACTTTTGAAAATAGAATGAACTATATGTACATACTTATGTAAAAGCCACAAGCACCCAAATTTTCTGCTTCAAACTGCATTTACAGTGAAAGTATGAAATCTATCCAAACATAAATTGCATTTTTGAATTTAGCGTCCTCAATGTTACTAAGAAGCGAATTTTCATTTAAATGCGTCCATAATTCTATTTTTTCCCACATTTTATATGGAAGGGAAGCACTGTGCATTCTCATTTACTTGCGTTTGCACAAAAAATGTTGCCTTCTCATTGCCCTCTTCTTAGTATTTGTACGTAGAGGGCAAAGAGAATGTAACCTTTTTTGGTTGAAATGAAAACGCTATTAGGCAAACTTTCAATTCATAGTATTTTCATGTTTTCTGATTTATGCTTTTGTATGTAAACCAAATTTCGATCAGCAGTACTAAAAACTTAAAAGCTTTTGCTAATTTTGCATTCTCGTACTTTTTTGGATATTTTTAAATTTGACCGATGATCGTTCGTTACTCTCCTGCAAGTTGTTGCTGGATATTTTTCCCTGGATATCTATTCGGACAGGCTAATTATTTGATATCTATGTTACTCAAAACTATGGCATTTCAAAGAAATTTAGCATCCGTGATGTTGGAGACATTGGATAATGTTCTTTTTTTTCACAGATTTGAGCATTTAAAAGCGAAAGACAACGATTTTGAAAAGCGATTCGCCAACTTGGGCAATATCTATTACAAACAGGGTGTTACGGAATTCAATTGGGACAGCAATATAGATGAAACGCTAAGCACTGATCATTGAAACCAAATATACATATACAAACATATATAGATATTAGAGCTTGGCGTTTAAAGGATATCATGGCGAGCTATAAAAGTAGCTATGGGCTGCATAATTGCGAAAAGGACTTTAATCTAGTTTTAAAAATAAATTTAAAACTAAATATAAGTAATAACTGATAGAAAATAGTAGATCTACGCATTAACTGGATTTTGTATTGTTTTGCTGTTTTAGCTATACTGATTTTTGTGTAATCAGTTTAATTATTATTCGTCTGTAGCTATTGTAAATATATTTCCCGAGTCTCTAGTGTATGGTTTTTGAGTTGAATGTTGAAATTCGCAAGTCACAATTAGTCGCAAGTCATTTTATTGTATACTGTATTAGTTGAAATACCTATAGTAATATGATTTCACTGTTACACTAAGAAAATACGCTAAGCCAAAATTAGTTAAGATTTAAATTATAAGCTTAGGGCCTAATGTTTAGGCAAACGGAGAGTATTTTTTTTTACTTTTACCACATATAGACTACATACATGCATACAAAATGTGTTTATATTAGAATACCTACTTTTTAGCAATACAAAGTATTTATATACATATACATATATGTATACATATACATATGTACATATGTATGTGACAGTTAAAATATCAATCCCAAAAGTTAATGTAATCGGTTTCTGTATTCATCAAACCCAGAAAATGCATTAAGAACTATCGGAATTAAAATTGTCACTTCAATCGCCAAATGCCACTTTTGCACGTTTAAATTATATTTCAGAAATCATTGGATAACGTATGTAAATACCATTGTATGAAACTACTTTCAAGTATGGGCCTATTTATTGATTTCAGTTTTTGGCCCGATTCCGGCCGATCTATTTGGCAATAGTATTGTTAGTCAAAGTAATTTTATAAGACAATAATAAATTCAAAATGAGATGGAATATGATTATGGTTGCGTAAAAAATATATGTATATGGCTTGTGCAAAAATAAAACGGTAAACCACTAAAAAAGAAAATTCAATGCGGAATAAAATAAATTCGACAAAATAATATGAAATAGCTGGATTCAGTAGCATTTTACTTCAAAAAGTCAGTTCAATATGAATACATACAGATATACTTACAAACATGAATAGTGAGATTAAGAATCTCAAGTTTATATAACTACCAACAAAGAATTAATATAAAATATTATAAATCTACAAACTTGATTATACGAAACTCATTTTAACGCATTTATATCGTTTACTATAAATTGTGCCATTTTGTAGAAAATTATTCATTTTTATACGTCATTAATCATCACTGTGCATAAAACAATTGATTATTGATAAAGTATTTACCAAAAAGAGTGCAATTCAATAATTTTAACCATTATAAAGCACTAAAAATTAAATTATTAATAAAAAAATAAAACGAATTAGTTTAACGAAAACGCAATTGAACTTCATTTCTAGGTCTCTTACAAATTTGAAAGATGTTGCTTATAAACTACATGTAAAACATACATTGTTCGCATAACTGTTGCTTGTAACAGCCTAAAGGAATATCCTTAAGCTGGGATCACACGATTTGTACATTTGGCTAAAAATTTGTCAAATTCGTAGACAAATCATGTGAACGCTAAATTACATTTGTTATTTATCAGGAAAGCCAAATATTTGCCTTCTTGTGGCAAATGAAAAACAACCCTGGTGGCCAAATCGTGTGAACGCAATGCTGCTACATAAGCCAAATAAAAATTACGCAAATGACCAAATATCTGATTTGCCACTTGATGACAAATGCCAGTGACAAATATACAAATATTGTTGAGCGGTATTGCCATTTCGTGCTTGTGAACCTTTGTATTTTCCAATTTTGGTAAAATTTTAATATTTAATATAATATTCGTATCCGAAAACTACCGAAAAATATCACGTTATTTGAAAACAATAATTTTAAAATATTTGCTCAAACTGAACATTTGAAAACATGTACATATACGTATTCGACAGTAGTTGAGTGTGCAGAGAAGCGTGCGACTATTTGTAACCTTCATGAGGTTCCAGGTTCTTATGCCGGCAAACGAACATATTAAATGTATAATTAATTTCTGAGTATAATTAACTATGAAAAAGCATATTTGAAGTTAAGAATGAAAAATTTCAGAAAACCAACCGGAAAAGTATTCGTTTCACAACCCTTCGTGGCACTTTACTATTCACCTTTCTTTCAGTTTTCGGATCTCTTTCCGCAGTTTTTGCTGGCTATACACATATACATCCATGCATATCGTCGTATAAAGTACAAAACCGCATATCGTTATTCTGCAAAATCGCGTAACTGGCATTTGCTGCCAAACATTGAATTTGCTTCCAGAAGCTGTTGGCACAATCCTTATCCATTCGTCCTGAAATATACTATCCAGAAATGCGATTGCTTTATAAAAAAAAGAGAACCAGTTTGAAATATGAGTGTTTTTACTATCTAGATAATAATTTATGCAACCTCACATAGGCGACTTTGCATTTTGTTGATACGCGGTTTTGTACTTTAAACGACGATGTACAGATTATTAAAGACGATCTAAATTACACTGTGCGACAAAAAAAAATTTATATCGTTTTTTCGAGGTTCACACTTGTTGTAGGTCTATTCAAGCAGTAAAATCTGCATACTCAGAATTTTAAATACACCCTCAAAATCTGGGCTTAAGGTCAAAAACCGCGTTTTTCAAAGGGTGACGCACAGGTATACCTGCCCGTAACTTTACTTCTGTTTACCCGGTAAAAAATACGTATTTATGTATGTGATTCAAGATAAGACATTTCGCTGCTTACAACAATGTTTAAATTGATAATTTATCTTAAGAAATGGCAAAGGAATCAGTGATCGGACTTACAAAAAATTTGTGTGGTAGAATCTAAAAAGAGATGTAGTAGATTTCATAAAAATGTGGTAGATCTCAGGTTTTCGATCCAACTTTGTACAAAAATTAAAAAGGTTTCTCCTAAATTGCAAACATTTTAATTAGAATCTAAAACAAAATTAATTTTAGTATAATAAAGTGGAAGATTTAAGTTGATAAAAATTCCGTTGGTTTTGGCAATTTTTTTCCTTGACAGTTGCGAACATATTTTGAAAGATTTCTGCAACCTTGCAGAGTGCTGCGAGCTTTTCTTTTTATCACATCACGATGTAGCGAACAAATGTACGCTCGTTCCAGAAATGCTACTTGTGATTTGCCGATTTTTACAATTCTCAAGTAAAAGTAAACAACGCTTTAGAAATTTGAGATGCACTGAAATTTGCTAATGCTTTCACAAAAATCGCCGGTTTTTATAATTTTCGCTATTAATTCTTTTTATAAATCATATATTTTGCAATTTAACTCAATAAAACCATGGTTGATGTTGAGTGTTGGACAATTTTTGCTCTTAAAATTAAGAAAATTATGTTGAGCAAAAATAAAACTACTCAAAAACGCGAGTATGTGGTAGATTTCAGACCTTGTGTGGTAGGTGTGTTCAAAAAGTGGCAGATCTACAACAATGTGGTAGAAGTCCGATCACGGAATCTTACAGAGTATATCGATGGCTGAGTGGAAGATCGACCTATCTCGGCAACCAGTTCGAAAACGCCTTATCTCAGAAAATTTTTTAACAACGCGCTATCTCAGAAAACTTTTCAAGAACGCCCTACTTCAGAATTTCATCGAAAAACGCCCTATCTCAGCTGCCGTTTCCAAAACGCCCTATATCAGCTTATTTTCAATGTATTTTCGTTTGAGATAGGGCGTTTTTGAAATGAATTCTGAGATAGGGCGTTATTCAACCAAATTCTGAAATAGGGCGTTTTTCAATCAAACTTTAAAGTAGGGCGTTCTTGAAAAATTTTCAGAGACAGGGCGTTTTTGAATTGACTTCCGAGATAGGTCGATCTTCCACTCAGCCATCGATATGAAAAATTTAAATTTTTAACTTTTTTTCATTTTAAATTACGACTTGTCCGACTATTTTGTTAACTAGTATACATACATAGGGTGCCCATTCTCAAGACAAATTAACCATTTATAAATGGTTGTAAACAACGAAATGTTTTCTCTTAAATGGCATATGTAAGTATTTTTCATCGGGCAAACAGAAATAAAGTTACGAGCAAGTATATGCTTCAACCTATGAAAGACGCGTTTTTTACCTTCAGCCCAGATTTTGAGGGTGTATTCAAAATTCTGAGTACCTGTGCGTATATATTATTTTTGTTTATTACACTTCAAATCTCACGAAATCATAAATACAAAAGTATGGTTGACACCGGATCAGCTGTTTAAGTATTTATGACCAAATGGTTAAATCGTGTGAATGAATGTGGACAGTATTTGTCACTTTACTGCTGTGCGCAAATGTGTGCCAAATCATTTGGATCTTTGGCAGCCAAATCGTCTGATCGCAAAACAAATCATTTGTACATCGCTATCCAAATGCGCAAATGTGGACAAATCTAAATTTGGCATTTTGTGTACAAATGTACAAATCGTGTGATCCCTGCTTTATAGTGTGTACCTGAAAAAATATAACAATATGGAGGCTACATCCACACAATTTCAGAAAATAAAATCGAAAACATTTAAAAAGATTTGCCTTTGCATATCTGCAACACCATGCAATTTTTAAAGCAATTGTTTGTCTATTATGTAATGTATATCATCCCGTACATCCAGGCAATTTGCATCTTACACGAGGGAAATTTTGTAGTCAATCTCCAAGACCCTTTGGCGTAAAATATTGTGTCTCCTCGCCGTTTGGTGTTTTCAACACTAGGTCTTCCAGACTTGTTGAAAACTTCGGATGCATAAAGTTGGAAATCTAGAATATTTACATAACCACAATTTTAGAAAATACCAGATTCTTACAGCAAAATTCATTTATTTGACGTACGTACATATCGTTAGTATAGTATGGAAATAGCGTCACTCATATCGTCGCTGAAAGGCAAAAAAGCCACAACTAACTAAAAAAAAATGTATTGCATAAAACGATGGGATGACTTATAATTTGATGAAATGCATCATAATCAGGCATGGTAGCCCGATCACTTAACGCTAGGCGCACATTGCGTCCGATAGGCCGATCGATTTCGGCCGAACAATTTGACCGTCCGAATTGATGCGCACACTTAACCAGATTATTTGCCGACCGTATTTGTACACAAAAATCTAATTTTCATTACAATTTTATAAGCAGTGAATTATTTTGATTCATTTTAATTGACATACTCAAAACATGTGATTTTATATGTAATTTTGTTGTTTTTGCACCCAATAAGTTAATTTTTCACAGTCCATTTTGGTACTTTTCACCGACATCGGACGAGAAAAACAAACATGTTTGAATTTATCGTCACTGACGAACGTCAACGGCCGATGTCGGTTCGGTTATCGGTTTATGTGTGAGAACGCTCATATAATCACAAGTGTTTATTCATATCGCCCGCATATAGCCGATATCGGCCGAGCACAATTCGGCGAAAAAACACGACCTCCGAGATACAGTGAAACAAGTTTTGAGTAGCTTTCCTCTGCTGCTGTATTGAGCGCGTTGTTGGTCGAGAACTACACGTCGTACGCGAACATATACATAAATAATGCGTTTATTGGGAATTTTGTCTTCTACAACTTCGCTATTTAAATGTGCAACTTATTTAAAATAAAAATTGCTCAAAATTCGAAAAAACCGCGCCACTTACCTAATTTTGGGCATTTTTTGCATATTATTAGCAATAAATAATTGTTTAAAAAAATGATAGGCACATGAAAATTGTAGGGAATCGAATTCTCTACAAATTTGTTCTCTACCTTTTTTCGCGAGAAATGCAAAATTAGCGCGCAATTGGTAAAAAACACAAAATCCAAGATAGCGGACATTTCGCATATCGCAATTGGGGGAAAAGTTTTATTTTCGTGTTCACCTGAACAGGAGACAACAAACTGCGTCGAAAAATTTCTTCCTGGAAATTTTTCGTTGAAAAAATCTAAAAAAACACAAAATCCAAGGTGGCGGACATTTCCTATATCGCAGTTGGGTGAAAGATTTTCATTTTGTGTTCACCTAAACAGGAGATACCAAACTGCGTCAAAAAATTTCTTCCTGAAACTTTTTCGTTGAAAAAATGTAAAGTGATTGGGCTATGTGCAGAGACTTAGCGTGCTAAAAGAGCGTAAGCATCGCGTGTACGTATACAAGCGAGAGCGTAACGATGAGAACGCGACAGGCTGCAAAATGAATTGGACACACTAACCCATTCTCACTTTTCGCTCACGCTTGTTTGTGGTAGTGCCCACCTCTGATCATCTATTCTTATTAAAGAAAAATTAATGTGGGGGGTCTTTGTTAGATCACCAGAAGCCAAATCAACCATTTTTAGAATTTTTGTCGTCTGTCTGTCTGTACGTTTGCACGCGCATCACTCGAAAATGAATGCAGTTTTCACCGATGTATTGACAGAGGTCTAAAACTTAAAATATAGAACGAAAAAAATTTGAGATCTGCCACCTGTTTGAAAATTGCAGTATGAGTAAATTGATAAGAAAAAGGGACA